AATAATTCACAGGCTGGAAACGGATGAACCTTGCCCTCACATCTTTGAGATTATGTTTGACGATTTCATTTCTTCCAGAATTGCCTCTGAAAATCTACAACAATTATACAGGAAAATTCATTACCTGGCCAGGGAATTCCGAATTAAATTGCACGAGAAAACCAATACCACGAAGTAATGAGTGCGATATCGGTTTACAAGTGCAATTTAATGCATAATTCATGAGTCAGGCAATGAATTTTCCTTGAATCGCACAATTGAATGAAAAAGGGAAAAAAGAAAACAGCAATAGAGCGTGAAACAAGAGATGAGAAACAATATCACTCAGCCTCGTTTCCAACTCGCAATTCCACACTAAATACTTCACTTCGTTAACCGATCAGAATGCCAGAATTTATCTAATTATGTGATTCTGTGAAAATATGAGATGATGATTTTATTGTAGATCAATTTCATTGTTGGTAGCATGGCAGATTAGAAGAATGCCAACATAACATCCCTCAGCGCTAACTAACAGCCAACTGTTAGTGCACGCTCTAGCTAGACAACATATGAGGCCACTGTGCTTTTAAAAAAGTATCCAGAAGCGCTCCCTTTTTCCTGATTTATAAGGTCAGTTAATCCAATTTACATTACATTATATCTCACAAATAAAGTCTTCAGGCAACTTGCTACACATGCTAACTGGGATGTTTACCCTAAAACAGATACATGTATGTTCCTTACTTTTAGAGCCATGCATTTATGTCCACCCAAAATAGTATACTTGTTTCTATTTAAATCTCAAGCAGGACCATGAGGAGAGATGTATTTCAAAATTGTGACCTTCTATTACAGTCTAAGAACACATCAACCATTCCACAAGCTATCTCTAGGGTTCAGATTTCAGGGAGTTACGCCCTCACATTTAAAGTGCACCTAAACCCAAAAATATTTTTTGCTTAACGAAATAAGCGTATTTTTTGGAGTATTTCTGTGTAAAAATTTTTTTATCTGCTCAAATCTTCAATTTTCTGTGTCCAGTCAAAATACAGAAAATCGGCCGCCATCTTGCCCCAAGACCGAGTTTAAAGAGGAATGGCTCCATAGCGGGTAATGTGACGTCAAATCGAGAACACGAAAGTGTGCCTTTCACACATTTTCCCTTGTTTGGAAAGGTTGTAGTCGATATTGTCCGAAAATATGCCGACTAAGTGTGTTGTAGAAGGATGTAGCAACGTGCGAAATTTGCAAGAGGGTATCGCGCTTCATACATTCCTCATACAACACACCTAGTCGGCATATTTCGGACAACATGACAACAGCCGTCCCAAACAAGTGAAAATGTGTGAAAAGCAGACTTTCGTGTTCTCGATTTGACGTCACATTACCCACTAGAGCCATTCCTTTTTAAACTCGGTCGTGCGGCAATATGGCGGCCGATTTTCTGTATTTTGACAGGGCACAGAAAATGAAAGATTTGAGCAAATTAAAAAATTTTTGCACAGAAATACTCCAAAACATAAGCTTATTTCGTTAAGTGAAAAAAAGGTTTTGGGTTTAGGTGCACTTTAAAATCTCCCTTTAGCACACTTCCAAGAATATCTTGAACAGCTTTGAATTACATCTCTGCTGTAGCTTTTTAACCAACCTTGTCAACATTGTTTTCCTTGAAGGTCACAAAAGTGGAACCATCAGAGGATAGCTGTAACTTATACTCTGTTGTCCAATCATTAGAAGTTGACATCCCTTGAGTAGCTACAGCACAAATAAGAAACTCATACTGCAGATCAATTTGCAGATAATCATCAGGATGGTCATTTCTGCTGGTTAACCATCCCCCATATGCATTCAGTCGACCTTTAGAAGCTTCAAAACTGCTACTTGATGCTGAGAAGCTGGCATCAGGGAGTGTGTCATTGCTAGCCACACCAATGGCCTGCATTTGGCAAGCTGAAATCAGTCAAAATAAAATGAGGAACAGATTGATTTATAAAGCATGCAGACATATACAACACATGAGAAGTAGACAGTAAACCTGCCAATCCAAAACTAATTTGCATTTGTATAAGATTCAGTAAAAATAAAATCATCTCACGTATGATCCAATGGTTTTCATTAAAATGAATAATTAGGTGTACATGTATCAAAGTAATTTTTTTCACTTTCTAGTGGAGTGACCAGACTAACTAGATAGATGACATCTAGCTATCTTCAACATTGTATCAACACTTCCCACTTCACAGAAAGTTTGAAAACAATTCGCTTAAATTTTACCTGCAAGTACTGCAGGAGAGTAAACTGATTGAGGAAAATGGCAGTAAGATTTGAGCCAACAAGGAGTTTGAGTGTCCCAAGTTCAAATCATTTTTACTGTTTCAACCATAACAACAGAGCTCATCACCCTTACAAAAAAAGATAACCTTGAAGTATACTTTAAGTACACTAGAAGTATACTGCATCAATAATAGTTACACTGCAATCATAATTCAACAATACTTCAATAGTACTGCACTTACATAAGTACAACTGCAGTACCATTTTTGAAGTACACTTATAGTATACTACTCAAGTTAAATCATTTTCTTTGTTGTTGATGTAGAGTACAAGTATACTTAAAATGTCTCACACAAATGTGAATCATGTTCAGGTCTGATTAAGTAGGAAATAACTATACTGAAATGGTACTTATGCTTCAGTTGATAATGATCATTGATTACTTTAAACGTGCAGTCATGTTCCGAAAATGCCCTTGATCATAAAGGCAATGCATATAGAAAAAAACCTATTAGCTAGTGTACATTAGTATTATCAATAGGATTCAGTTAAAAAATATCATATCAGGGCTATCTAATGATCGTTTGGTTTTCATCTAAATATTTAATCAGGTGCATTAATTTAAGAATTTTTTTTCAGTCCCTAACACCAGACTTTCACCACACGTGCTCAACGTTGTGTCTACGTTTTCCAATTCACATAAAAGGATTGAAAAAGAATTTCACTTAAATTGCACTTCCATGTACTGCAGTATAACTATATATCACCTAACTATTTTAGAGTGAAGGATAGAACCTTATGAGAACCTATGGCATAAAAGGGTTTCATGTGCATTCGCAACTACAGCAGAATTAAATTAAGCCCTCTAACTAACTGGAAAACAAATCAAGAATTGATTTGAAGTAGTGGGGCAAATTAATATTCTCCAAACTTTAATAGTAGATGCAGAAAAAGAAAAAATTGAGGAAAAATTGGCAGTAAGATTGAGCCTGTGCAGTGAGTTTGATTTTAACAAGTTCAAATCATATGTGCAGGCTCAACCATAACAACAGAACTCATCAGTCATGTTCAGAAAATGCCAAGATCCTAAAGGCAACGCACATATATGGAAAAAACCTATGAATTAGTGTACATTAGTATTATAACTCCTTAATGTAATACCTTGAGACTTCAAACAGTGCGAATTTGTCAAACATATAATATAGTTTATATGAGATATGTTACCTCTCCTTTCAGAATAAACTTCTACCTCACAAATTGTGAGGTTTTTGGCATCAGTTCTTAATTTTCTTATTGTCACATATCTTCCAAATAGAACAGGACGACAGAAAAAGGATACACCTTTTCCTTGTGGTAGACTATAACTCTGCTTATCTCCGCACTTAGGATAGGTAGTTCCTCCATTATCAGGTACTGTGCCTATATGGGGAATCAAGACACAATTTAAGCTTTAGCAGGAAAAGTAATGAAGAACTTGTTTACATCTACTATCGTTGCACAATGGTACGAGAGAGTCATATTAAGCCAGACAGCTAACACTACTGGAGATCACAACACGCTTGAGTGTAGGACATTGCTTATCCTTCTGGCCCTGTTGTTCCAAGGCTGCATGGATAATGCTATCCACTGGATAAATTTCATCCACCTAGTACACAACACAGTACATTTTGTTGACATTTTCCCCCCGATAGTAATTTATCAGCTAAAATAGCATTTATGTCGCCCCTTTAAGCAACTGGGTCCTGGTTTTCATGGAAACATAACAGAAAGAAGAACTAGTCCATTATGGCTATCGTTTTTATGTTTAGGGAAAAGAAGAATGCAATGCATTGCAAAGCAAGGGCAAGAAACTGGACGTTCAGAACCAGAGTCCAGCTTCTATTATTCCAGCACATCTGGCTCATGAAGCTGAAGGACAGTGATAATTCATTGCGATGCATCATTTTCTAATGATACTCTGAATATACAGATATAGATAAAGTTGATTAAGACCTATCAGTTGAAATTTGTAGACAGTTTGAAGTCTTTAACACATTGCCAAAATTATGAGACAGGATTGCTTAATGTAGGGTGCCCCCCAGTTTAGTAACAAAGTTTCAAGAAGTCATCTAACCCACCCACTCTGATCTCAAAATGCCACACTTCTGCTTGACTGACTAAGTATACTTCTGAAACTGGTTCAACTTGTCCCAGGTCAACTCTCCACCAAGGGTTGTGTTCTCCATCAATGAGGGTACAGCTTCCATTAACCCAGTTTGGGTAACTTATTCCATCAACTGCCCTGCTACTTACACGACCCTGCTCTTCACTACTTTGACTTGTCTGTTTTCTAAATGCAAGATTATCTGAAATGACACATGCAATTATATCAATCAGCATCTGGTCACATTAAGAATGTGATCAAAAAAGAGTTTGGAACTAAGGCTCTAACTTAACTTTATCAAAAACTTTCAAAACTCTGCTACAAATATCCTGACTNATAAACTTATGTTAGAGTAAATTGACTCCAAGTGAGAAAAGTAAGACCATATTATAGTCTGAACCTCCCAAAGTGCGGAAAACAAAAGTTGAATTCACGGAAAACGTGGCAATTTACTAACGTTTACCCGTGTTTTGCCTGCGGAAAATCCGACGTTTTCTGTGCGTTTTCACACAGGTGAATCCTATTATTCGGTAGTTTTTCTTTGTGGTAAATGCAGGTAGACGATTCATTTTCCGGCATTAACCATTCGGTTAACGCACTGCAAACAGCGTGTTTTCCTTTTGTTCATTGACATTTTCCAAGTGAACAACAACGTATTCATCAGAGTAAATATACACATTTTCCAGGAAGGTTAATGTGTGTAAATGCGGGAAAACAAAATGTTTTCCAGAGTTTGCAGTTCGTATAATGCATAGAAAATGCTGTTTTCTTCTGTTCACAACCATTTTTTGCCCGGAGAATGAAATGTTCACAAGAATTATCCAGTCGAAAGCATGCATTTTCCAACGTTTTTCCGCGATAGCGAATCCGAGAAAATTCGTAGAAACACATTTTGCAGTGTTTGACCTTTCATTGTTGTTCGGTTAACTTATGAAAAACAACATGTCTTCTGCCATTTACAGCTGTTTTGCGCATTCGAAGGTTTCATGCATTCCCCGGTATTTTCTGCAAAGGTAAATTCGTGCGAGGGATGAATTTTCTCACGTTTACAGCCGCTCGGTTAACAACGTTCATCAAATTTTCACTTCCTAGACTCGAACTCTACTGCAGGTTCTAAGGCATTTTGTCTTATTTCCCTCTCCCAGACAGGATAAGCACTCCTTTAATAATTATTGTCAAGTTTATTAATGCACAATGACATTAGTGGTACAATTTATTAAGAGTCCGAAATGGAGCCTGATAACAATCATGTTTCTTAGCCTTACTTTACACATGTCTCTGTCTAAAGCCAAAAAGAGGCAAAACTTAACCGTTCCAGTACAATTCATACAATAAAATTGGAAGGATGACTGTCTGAAAAATTATGTGTGGGTCAATATATACAAACTATTACCAGAAAACTGATCTCAAGATACATGTTTAAATTTCTAAACTTCTATTATAAGCATTTTGCAAAAATGAGTGTCAAGTGTTTGAAGAAAAAATAATTAGTTGAACTTCATGTGCCGAGGGAATCAAGGCAACATGCTGAGAATGTCACCTTACATTTAATCTTATGCCTGCATTAAATCTATTTGAAACACTTCTGATGTTTGAAATTGAGACACTACTCAATCTGATGGAGAACAAGAAAACTATAAAAGAGAAAATGAAAATTGTACCTTCCTCTAAAATAGCAGATCTGTCCAGGATTTTGGGCTCTTTAAAATGAGCATGGTAATTGTCCAAACTGATAAAAGTTCACTCAAATGCACAATTCACTCAAATATGAAGTAGTGTGATAATGTTCAAAAATTCCTTCATACATGTGAATTATTTTCTAAAAATACCTGCATTCAATCCTGAACCTAAGTGCCAAAGAGTGGTCAAGGAAGGGAAAATTCTAGAAACTGAATTCACTTTCCACTGACAATAACTTAAATGTAGACTGCTCAATAACTTAAATTGCTCAAAATATTACATGTTAGACATGTATGTGTTTACAGTCTTTACACTCTCTTGTAATTGACCATGATTGTACAGAAGTCTCACT